CTGGATGTGAGATCCAGGAAAAAGCCTTGATGGTGAGAGATTTTCTTGTCCCCTTTTCCTTTCTCTGGAAACAAACAGTGTGTGACTGCTGTAACTCAGAGCCTGCCCAGCAAGGCAGCTTGTTTACTGTTGTCTTTGGTGGCTTGAAGCTGTGTGGCCTTGTCCCCGTTCCAGGAAATGCATGGACACGGCTGGCTGAAGGAAAACCCTCACGCCTGTGCAGTTTTGGGGTGGCACAGAGCCACCTCAGCCTCATTGTTAGCAGATTCCAGCCTTGCCTCACTGCTCTGTGCCACACACAGAGCACTGATGGCCTCCAACTAAAACCCTCTCCAAAGTCACCCTGCTCTCCCTCATGGAGCTGTGGAGGCTCCATTCAGCCCATGCTGGTTTCTCTCTGCATTTCTCCCTCAAATGAGGGTAGGGAGGAAAGGAGAATGTCCTGGGAAGGTCACATCCCTCATGGAACACCTTGGTGGTTGCTGTGGTGTGTTCTTAAGTTCGTTAGTTTGCTCCCCCCATTTTCTGTATTACTTCCTGCTGCTACCCTGCCAGTTAGGTTGCTATGGAAATGAAACTGCTCCTCCCTTGGTTTCTCTTATAAAGTGAAAGTTGTTTCCTCCTTGGGGTCAGTCAATCACTCTTTTTCTCCTCCCAGGTTTCGAGAATTTTCTTTTCTCTGGTAGTTATGGTTGGCTGTAGCCCCGGAGCCCCTCCTATGATTTATAACAGTTGGTTACTTTGGTATATCAGTTATGTTTCGTACCTTCAAATATGTATTTCTATTGGATAGCCGGGTTTCCCTGCCTTCTTCCCCCCTTTTCCCTTAAAACCCTCTCCTGCCCCTTGTTCGGGGCCATTTGCTGGGTGTTTCCCCTCCTTGTTGGTTCTTCTGTAATAAACCGACAGTTTACCCCCAGCAAGTGGTCGCCTCCTANTGTGCATTACTGACAGCACATCCCCACAACAACCCTCAGCTGTAATCCCATATTTGCAAACACCTGGATTTCAAACCCCTAAACACTGTCCAGCCCTGCTCCCCAAGGATCAGCTTTTTTTAAACAATGGATTTTCCACCTCACAGGTCCTCACAATGAAGTTAAGCTACTCAGTGTTGACAAAAGCCCGTGTTTAGAAGTGGATGATTTATTTACTCACTGCCTCTTGGTTCATTTAGTTTTGCTCTGAGGAACAGGAATGCACCAGCAAAGCCAGGATTTGAAGGAGAAAAGGATGGAGAGAAAATGATGGAGAAATAGCCAGGAAAATCCAAAGGATAAACACTGAAATAGCCCCTATCAAATGCTGCCTTTTTCACACCCTGTGATTAACCAGACCTCCCACCTCCAAAACTGTCTGTACAAAAACCGAACACCACAGGCACACACTAAATAAATGTCACTCATTTCCCTGGGCAATAATGGTAATTTGTGCTTCATACAGAAATTACCACACTTTGTTCTGGTCCCAAAAAGACAGAAAAGTGATGATTATCCCTGGTCCTCTCCAATATTCCTATTTAATCCATACAGCTCCAAACAAAAGGTGTTAAATCAACACTGAAATATTCAAATAAAGGGTCAATCTGTGCTCCATTCTCAGTGAAAGCTGCAGAAAATTCAGTTTCTGCTAAAGGCACAAAAAAAGAAATAGAAAAGTGTCAGCAAGGCCACTTACTGAGAAGTCTGACACCAAGGCAGACAAACTGATCAAAAATATGTTGGCAAGATGGATGGAGCACAAGGGGTAGGCCTTCAACACAATTACATTCAATAATATCCTAAAAAAAAAATTACAATTCAAAAATAATTCAATGGAAAAAATGCACTAGGGCAGACAGAGCTGTTATTTATTTATTTATAACCTCAAATCCTCAACCACAGGCAGAGTAAAATGCTCTCCCACTTCTGGAATAAAAATAGTCCTGGCTAGAATTTGTTTGTTGTAGATACATTACCTAAAGAAATTTAACTCTTTCAGCTGGTTGGCAAATTTTAACAAACAAATTTTGATTTCCCTGGGAATATTCCCTTAAAATTGCTAGTTTGTGCAAGATGTGGGTGCACAATTCCTCATTTCAGCATTCCTGCTGTACTCACTCATGCAGGACTGGGTCTGCTCCCTGACTGGATGATTTCAGAAATGAAAATCCAATGACAAAGAAAAAGCTTTCCCAGCAGGAACCTCCAGTAAAACAATTCACTCAAGGCTTTCCTGAAACTATTTGGGAAGCTGAGGAAGTTTCTGACACTGGGCAGGGGGAAAAGGCCAAACTATAACAGAACTACCAATACATAAAGATTCATGTTTAAAGTCTCTGTTCTTCCACCTGAAATTGAGCTGCAGCCACAGATTTATCCCTGGAAAGTGAATCCACTGCAGGAACAGGAATGTACCAGCAGCAGGTTGTGTTTTCCCTTCACAACCAGAGCAGCACAGACTTTACCCACCAGTCCCACCCCTGGGACACTTCAGGATGGGGCAGCACCTCCTGATAACCCCTGGATACAACCTCAGATGGAGGGAAATATCTCCTCACCATTACCCCTAAAACCCCACTGCCCACAGATGCTGCTGCTTTGTTCCACCTGACAAACACATCTGCTCTTTTACCAAATATTTCTCATTTTTAAAATTGTTTCTATATAAAAATGGGGGGGTTATCAGCAGATTATTGGTACCNGCAGGTGGTCACTGCTGGTCCCAAACCCAGCGCCAGGGGTTCACTCCAGACCAGCATCTTCCCCCAGTGAACCTCAAAGAGAGGGGAGAGCAGCAACAGCAGCTCAACAGCAGCATCCCAAATGTCTGTGCCATGAAAGGAGCTGGAAAGAATGTGCCTGGCCACATGACAGGCCAGGCCATCGCGCTGTGCAGAGAATAGAGAGCCCTCAGTCTGAATTACTGGGAACAAAGTTGGCTCAGGAAAGCGTTTCCCATTGTACTGCTGAACGTTTCTGCTCATCACACAGCTCCGCTGCTGCTGCTGCACCCAGGGCTGGGCTGGGCATCACTTCACTCCCCATTAAAGCAGAGTAGAGATCCATCAGCAGCATTTCAGACCTTTCTGCAGCATCCAGGCACTGCCTTGTCACTGTTGAAGATTTTCTGATGAGTTTTAAGCAGTAAAACTGAGTCAGGATGCCCCTGAGATGAGGCACATTTTGTGTCTTTGTGCACAGGTCACAGCTACAGCAGGCACAGAATGAGGAATTATTATTTGAGGAAATATTCTGCTCTTTAATTCACTCAGAGAATATTTCAGGCTATGGATTTTATGTTTTGATTGTTTGTATCTTAGTATCACACTACAGCAGGTACAGAATGAGGAATTTGAGGAAATATTCTGCTATTTAAAGGCTGTTTATTCACTCAGAGAATATTTCAGGGTATGGATTTTATGGTTTGATTGTTGGTATCTGGCATAGCCTTGATCTAAGCCAAAGTAAAACATAAGCAGGCTTCAATTCCTTGAGATTTCTTGTAAGATCAGAACCCAAGGATTCAATAAAATCTCCTGCACTCCAGAGTTTTGTGGAGTTACAGAAATCCCTCCTGCCTGCTCTAAGTGATGCCTTCCTGAGGCTGCAGAGAGCCTGGAACAATAGCTCTGACACAGGCACACTGCCCCATTCACTTTTTCTACACAATCTGCTGCTTCCTTTAGGGTCAGCCCACAAGAGAAAATCCACATCACACAGCTGCAGACACCAGAAGGCCGTGCAGGGCTGTGCCTTGGCCATTCCTGTGTTTAATTAATTTCATTTATTCAACAGCAGTTTGGCAGCTGGCACTGACATGTCTTTTAGCTGGAGAAGGGCAGCACCAAGAGCCCCATCCTGATTTCAGACAGGGATTTACTGACCGAGATGGCAGCACCTGAAAGACCTTGATATTTATTAATAACCTGATCAAAAAGACAAAAATACTGCAGCAGTTTTCCAGTCCATTCAAAATGCTAATAAGCTTACAGTAATGATTTTTCTTCCTAACCACAGTTCACAGAATCATAAAAGTTGGAAAAGAGCTCCAAGATCATCAAATCCAATCTGTGACCCATCCCCAGCTTGTCAGCAGCCCAGAGCACTGAGTGCCAGCTCCAGCCCTTCCTTGGACACCTCCAGCACCTCCTGACCACCCTTTCCATGAAGAAATTCCTCCTGATTTCCAACCTGTTGCACACCCCTAGTTAGCATCTCCTCATAGCATGGTTTGGAGTTTCACTCTCAGCTGGGAAAGGAAATTGGGTAAACACAGTGAAATGTGGCATTGAGACATGACAGAAACAAGTGACAGGCTGGAGAGAGCCAAGGTTTTGGACTCTGCTCACCTGTGGGTTCACCCAGAGCCACAACTGCAAACAGAAAAACATCCAGATGTTTGTCCAAACAAAGCTGGGCCCTGGCTGCAGGCTGGGCTGACAGGAAAGCAAGCAAAGTCACCACATTTACAGAACACACAAACAGATCTGCACTGAAACTCAAGGTGGGAAGAAAGGAAAGAAGGTAGAGGACGTGATTCCCACAAATGTGACCAGAAAAGGGTCACACCTGAAATGCAACAGGGGAAGTTTGAGATGCTGGAAGTTTTCTTTGGCAGAGTCACTGGATTTTAACTGCTAAGGTCACCTGGATATCTTCAGCAGAGCAAGAAATATCCCAGAGTGAAAAGGAACAGCAAATGATCTCATTACTCAATTTGCCATCATTTGGAAAGGGCAGGCAGGGATGGATAATTATTTTTTTGCTTTTCTTTCCTCTGCTTTGGAAGCTGCTGATGCAGGGAGTGTGTTTGGGCAGTAACACAACCCTGGCTCTCAGCCTTGAATGCCAAGGGCTGCAATGAGACCCAGAGGGTTGTGCAGCCTGAGTTTGGGCTCAGTGATACTGGAAATCACTTGGAGCTGTACAAAGAGTGGAATGGAACTCCTGATTTGTTCCAGATCCTTTGCTGACCTTACAAGGAGTTCACAGAATGACAGAATGGTTTGGGTTGGAAGGGATTTCAAAGATCATCTTGTTCCAGCTCCTGTGCTGTGCACAAGGACTGTGAACAAGGACATCTTCCACTCTCCCAGGGTGCCCCAAGCCTGTCCAGCACTGCCAGGGATCCAGGGGCAGCCACAGCTGCTCTGGGCACCTGTGCCAGGGCCTCAGCACCCTCACAGGGAGGAATTCCTTCCCAAAATCCCATCTAAATCCACTCTCTGGCAGTGGGAAGCCTTTCCTGTGTGCTGTCCCTCCATCCCTTATCCAATGTCCCTCTCCATTGGGAGAAGGAGTGAATTCCACTTGGAAAGTGATGAGCTCACCCCAAAACCTTCCTCCAGGCTGAACAATCCCAATTCTCTCCACCTTTCCTCCTTCTCCATCTCCCTGCTCATCCTGCTGCCTCCTCTGGTGCTCCTTGTCCTTCCTGTGCTAGGGCAGCTCCAAAGCTTTCCTCCAGCCCTTCCCTACAGAGCCACAAATGATGAGAACTTTATATTTAATACTGAATAAATGTCTGACCCTCAAGGCATAATAATCTGCTTAAAATATACTTAACAGTACTCCCTGGCTGAAAGAAAAAACTTTCCAACTCTTACTTAAAAAAAAAAAATCCATTTAGATGCTTACTTTGACTACGTGCCCAGCACCACTGGCAAAAGCGCTTCTGTTTAGAAAGGATGGCTGGGCCAAAATTTAACTTGTTTTTCAGGAATAGGAAACCCAAGAGGGAAAAAAAAAGGTAATAAGAACCATAGCAGATAAATCATTATTGGCCATTCCACTGGAAGGGAATGTTCATGTCCAGGGCAGTGCCTGGGAGCATTTTCAGCTGGAGAAGTTGGGTGGTGATGCCTCATCCTCCTCACTGGGGTGTGGAAGAGCATCAGGATGGTGACAAAGCATCAATCTCCAGCAAATTCCCAAAGAATTCCATGCCAGACTGAGCACCAACAAGTTCTGACCATGGTGTGCCTGCTTTCCATTCCAATAATAATAATAACAATAATAATAATGTTATTTCACAGAGGCAAAGGAATCACATCCCATCGGAAGAGAAAATCAGGAAAAGCAGCTGAATTATAAAATTATATAGCTAAATTATAAAATTATATAGCTAAATTATAAAATTATAATTTTATAATTATCTGATCCATCAGAAAAGCAGTATTGGGGAAAACCAGAGAAAACTGGGATTTGTTTTCCTTTGAAATAAGAAATATAAGGTTTACCAAGGGCAGATTTAGCAAAAAGCCTAGAAGGGGTTCCCATCTTTCCCACCTGATGTTACCAGCTCTCACTGGAGCTAGAACTAAGCCAGTGTTTCCACAGCCACTCTTCAAGGCACAAAAAGGACAATCTCTCTCTCTCCCTGGTCATTTTTATAAAAAATAAACTGAAAAAATCCAACAGGCAAAGCCCATTTTTCTGTAAACACAATTGTTACCCTCAGGACAGATGTCCTGCTGCTGCCTTTTAACCTGACAGGTATCGAGGGGCAGGGCTTTAAGCCAGGCTTAACAAAACCACCAAACAGCACCAAAACCAGAGTGTGGTACTTTGTGGGCAATTATTTATAGATAAATGGCTCCTCTGTCACCCTGTCCCTTTGTGGGGACAAACCTTTGCATGTCCACGTGTAGAAGCGAGGAAAGTTTGTGCAGAAATTTGGTTTTGTTAAACCTGAGGGTTACAAAAACCTTACAACTTCAGGTTGGCTTCTCACAAAGCAATGAAAACACCTTTTTTGTGTTTTTTTTTTTTCCCTTCCATTCTCATTTGTGAGTATTGATTTCTCCTTGCCCTTTGTCCCTGTGGCTCTTGGCCAGCTCCACTCTCAGGGCATTGCCCCCAAGGCTCAGGCCCTGCAAGGAGGACAGAGCTCTGTGGGCAGCCCCCTGGTCCCTGTAGTCCAGGAAAGCTCTGTGCTGTGCCCCCTGCCACTTCAGGGCAGCAGGAAGCACCTGCAGCTCCCTCAGGGCACTTTTCAGCTGGCTCACCCTCAGGCTGCCAGGCAGGTTCCCCACGTACACAGTGGTGGTTGTGTCAGATGCCTCAGATTTGGGATTTACAGATTTGGGATTTACAGATTTGGGATTTACAGGGTCACTCCATGGCTGGGGATTGGCAGCCATCACCTCCCTGTCTGGAATTGCTGCTCTGCTGGTGTCTGCCAGGGCTGGGTGTTCATCTTGGAGGGTGACATCCTTGCCAGCCTGCTTCTCCCTCCAGCGAAGAGTCTTTAGGATGGGGATTTTTCCCAGCATCTCAGAGCTGACCTAAAAAGGAGGAAGATGGATGTAATTATTGTAAAAGGGTTTCTTGCCTTCCAGAAAAAGATTATGCTGTTTGTGCCACAAAAAGAGAGGAACCTTATTATCCTCCTGCCATGCAGACAGGCAGAGCATTCCAAATGTCCCTAATTGCTGCTCTGATTGGGAAGGCTCCCTAAATACACACTCAGGACAAAAATAAACATCAGTGACTCCTGAAGTGAGCAGCACAATGTGGATCCAGCAGGCAAATCCCAGCCAAAAGCAGGAATATTCCAATGTGACATTTATTTATCTGAGTGCTTTCAGATCTGCATTCTCCTTGTTCTCCCTCTGTGTTTGCTTTGACTGAGGGCCTGTGCTCCTGTCCTAAAGAATCCTACACAATCCCTGGCCTGGCAGAATCCTACACAATCCCTGTGCTGGCAGAATCCTACATAATCCTTGTCCTGGTAGAATCCTACACAATCCCTGTGCTGGCAGAATCCTACACAATCTTTGTCCTGACAGCATCCTACAGAATCCTTCTCCTGGCAGACAAGGCAGACAAGGATTCAGAATCCTACATAGTCCCCTGGCCTGGCAGAATCCTACACAATCCTTGTCCTGCCAGAATCCTACACAATCCCTGCTCTGGTAGAATCCTACACAATCTCTGCCCTGACAGAACCCTCCACAACCCCAGCCCTGGCAGAATCCCTCCCAACCCAGCAGACCCTTCCATCCTGCAGAGCTCCTGGTGCTCTCTTGCCCCAGCACNGGTTTTGTTAAACTGAACTTGCCTTGTGCCACATAATTCCCCGAGGTTTTGGTCGTTTGCAATGGGTCTGGATGGTCCTGGTTGGAGTGAGGATGTAATCCACAGTTAAATCATGGTCACCCAGCAGCTCCTCTGCTATGTCAAGCACCTACAAGGCAGAGATTTGGTTAAGTAGCTAAAAACAAACTCCCTAAAGCTGTGCCCCATTCCTGATGTCTTGTCACATGAAAATCCATGCAAGACAATGGGAAGGAAGATGCCAAACCAGCTTCATTCCATGTCTCCTCTGCAGACAGAGCAGGAAGTGTCCCAGAGCTCCCTCCCAGCTGCACAGGGGATATTTGGACATCTCAGCTCACCTGGCAGTCGTGCACGATGGTGACCACAGGTGTGTCCTCCTGCACTGCCCCCATGGACACCATCATTGCATATTCCATGTCTGCATAACCTTCCCCTTTGCCAATTCTCCAGCCTAAAGCACAGAAAAGTATGAAAAAACCCCAAACAGCACAGTGGAAAGTTGTTAAAATGGTGTAATTAACACAGCAGTCTGCAAGCTGCAACTCTGGAAAAAATCAGATCAGCATCTCTCACAGAGAGCAGCTTTCCTTGAAATCAGCACTGAAATGAAATTAAAAAATCAGTTTTAATGACTCCTAAAAGACCTCAGAAGCTTCCCATTCAGAATAAACAAATTCAATGTAATTAACCCAGCAGTTTATTTAGCAATTGTATTTAGAACCTTCTATTCATGTCCCACACAGGTTAATGTGGGTAAAGAGGAGTCTGGGTCACATATAAAAACTGTGTTATTTTAGGCAAGGGATAAAGTCAGTGGAAAATTTTCAGCACCAGCAGGTTTCCAAAATACTAGAAAATGCAAAATCTGATCCCCAAATAGGCCCTGAATCAGCAGCTCTAACACAAGGCCTTTCACACAGCCTGTGCGAGCAGAGCAGATCTGTGACAGGGAGCCTGCTTGGATTCCTTCAGAACACAAAGAATTGCTTTCCTCAAGAAAAAAACCACTGAAACAGCCCCAGAACATCTCTGAGGCCACTGCTGTGTGCCCCCTGCATGCTGAGGCAGCCCTGCTCCCCTGGCAGCAGGGATTGGGCACACACAGGGGCAGAGGCCAAAGCCACAGCTCAGCTCCAAGGGGAAATCTGGCTCTGCCACCGGGCTGGCATTTGGGATCTTTCTGCTGCAAGTTTTTCCTCACCTTTTTCAGAGACAGCCACTGACCCCACAACAACCAAGTCCACTTGTGCTTTGCTATCCAGCCCCACAGGCACGCTGAAGTCTCTTACGCCCTGCAGGGAAAAAACAGCATTTGAAGTTTGCAGAGGGCACAATCTTCCAAGGACTGAGGCAGAAATCCAGGGTATTTTGATAAATCCCAGTAACTCCCCATGTTTCCAAGTGTCTTTTCCATGTTTAGCCAAGCTGTACATGTCTGGGAAGTTATCCCCCAGGGAATCCTAGAATAGATTCCCTACTAGAGTGACAGGAATTTTGGCACACTGCAAGGAGAGCTGAGGGAGGTGGGCACTTTTAGAAGCAAGGTTTTTTATTTAGGATCAAAAGCTGATATTTTGAAACATTTGTTTTGGAAATCTGTTCCAAAAATGAGGACAAGTGACACTTCCTATTTACACTTCCCTACTCTACTAAAAGCTTGAGGAATACCAGAGCACTGCAAATGCTTCAATTAATTCTGAAATACAAATTACAAAGTTCATTTAGACACAGACAGCTACAACACAAAGAAATCTGAAGTTACACAAAGTGCTACAATTATTTTTTTTCTTTCCTTCTCTCCTTGTTCAACCCCAGCCATTCCTCTTCAATCTGTTCTCATCTTAACAAAAATTCTGCCCAGATTGCAGAAATTAAAAATTATGTTTACTTGGGTTTTTAAATATCAGAGGTTTAGAATTATTTAAAATACACCTTGTGATTCAATCACTCCCAATTGTACAAAATGGGTACAGCACACTGCAAACGCTCCTGACACCAACTCAACTCGCTGCTAATTATAAATTAACAATATTAAAATCACAATAAGGAGACACACATTTTCTGTGCAGAGCAGAAAGCCCAAGAATTCAGTAATTTGTGGCTGGCTATCAGCACTAACACCCATCAGGCACCTCCCAGCAGTGCGGTCAGGATTGTTTGCACAGTGCTTTGTAAATACAAACTGCCAACAGCATTTTTTCATTAGTGGGCTGGGGGAAAAACCAGACACAGGGTGGGAAGAGCCCAGATCAGACAGCAGGCCAAGAGAAAGGTCTCTTACAAAAGTGCTCTTCAGCCCTGAACAGCTTAATTAGTTAATGACTGCAATACAACTCCCAACAAAGAAAGTCACTACTAATTACCAGCCTTTACAACCTCGTTTGTTTATGGAGTTGCTGCACAACTTTATTGCCTTTAGCAGGAGATAAAGGAGGAAATAAATCCCTGTGGTAAGCTCTTCTTGTTGGGTTTGCACGGCAAATAAAGATGTAAGCGCTGCAGGGCTGTCTGGCCGCGGGCTGTGCGGTGAGGGTGGAACACGAGAGGGCAGCAAGAGACCGCTGCAAACGCCACCTCCCCACGTGGCTGCACGCAAATATCTCAATTCACGGCTCCCCGGGTCTTGGGTTCTATAAAAAAGCTCGTCTTTCCTATCTGGTAACACCTAAGAGCACTAAAATATTCCCCAGAGGGCTCAGCAGCTCAAAACTGCAGGATGGAGGAGCATGAAGAAAGATCGAACTCACCTCAAGTCATGATTTTCCAAAAGACACTGAGAAATATCAATTGACAAATATCAATTCAAATCCCTTTCAACCCTGCTAAGACCGAATTTTCTCCTGATTTCAACATTATCAATGGACACAAACCCAAGAGTAACATCCTAACAGAAAGGTATTTCAATTTTAGAAACCTCCAGCTGGTTCATCCTAAGCCCACACTGTCCCAAGGTTAACTCAGCCCTCCCTGATGCCTCAGTCCCACCTGGGATGTGGCACATCTGTCAGACAGATGTGGCACATCTACTCAGCATCTCCTTGGTTGAAGATGGCAACTTTCCTATCTGGTAACACCTAAGAGCACTGAAATATTCCCCAGAGGGTTCAGCAGCTCAAAACTGCAGAATGGAGGAGCATGAAGAAAGATCTAACTCAGCTCAAGTCATGATTTTCCAAAAGACACTGAGAAATACAAAATTCAAATCCCTTTCAACCTTGCTAACACTGATTTTTCTCCTGATTTCAACATTATCAATGGACACAAAGCCAGGAATGACATCCTAACATGAAGATATTTCTGGTTTTCCAACTTCCAGCTGGTCCATGCTAAGCCCACACTGTCCCAAGGTTAACTCAGCCCTCCCTGATCCCTGACTCCCACCTGGGATGTGGCTCCATCTCCTCAGCATCTCCTTGGTTGAAGATGGTAACTTTCCTATCTGGTAACACCTAAGAGCACTAAAATATTCCCCAGAAGGTTCAGCAGCTCAAAACTGCAGGAAATAGGAGGATGAAGAAAGATCTAACTCACCTCAAGTCATGATTTTTCAAAAGACACTGAGAGATATAAATTCAAATCTCTTTGAACCTTCCTAAGACCAAATTTTCTCCTGATTTCAATATAATCAAGCCAGGAATGACATCGTAACATGAAGATATTTCCGTTTTTCCAACTTCCAGCTGTCCCAAGGTTAATTCAGCCCTCCCTGATGCCTCAGTCCCACCTGGGATGTGGCACATCTCCTCAGCACCTCCTTGGTTGCACCAGGAGGGGGGACAATCCTGTTGAACAGCCCAGTCCTCAGACGTGGTGTGGGAACCAGCAAAGTCTTCCTTGCCTGGGGAACCACATGAGAAGGTTCATTTCACACTGAAGAAATATTTTTATTGTCATTCAGTAAAAACTACATGGCCAAATATTTTTTATGTTGTAGATTGTGTAGTGCTTGTAAGATTAATTTCCTTCAATACAGGAAAATTCCACAAAAAGGTTTATTGAAGAAATAAAAGGTAAGACAGCCATTTGAAGATATTTCAGGAGATACCTTTAAAGATAATTCCTCCTTTACAGCTATGTCTCTAAATAGCTGGATGAGATAATAGTTTCAAAGTGACAAAGGGCAGGGTTAGATGGGATATTAGGGAGAAATTCTCCCTGTGAGGTTGGGGAGAGAAGGTGCCCAGAGAAGCTGTGGTTGCTTCTGGAATGTCCAAGGCCAGGCTGGACAGAGCTTGGAGCAGCCTGGGATGGTGGAAGGTGTCCCTGCCATGGCAGGAGGTTGGAACTGAATTATCCTTCAAATCCCACCCAACCCAAACCATTCCATGACACTTTTTGATTTGAGCTGCACATAAACCCCTTGAAGATGCAGTCCAGGTGTTGCTGAGTTGTATTTTCTCCTAGAGCCAGGTCTGGGAAGCTCTCAGAGGAACCCATCACACCCAAGATATCCCAGCTACCCCAAAGACCATAAATCAGCAGGATGGCTCTGAGGCAGTGTTGGAAAGAAGAAAAAGTTTTAATAACAGGCAAAATAACAAAGCTTTTACAGAGACAGGGGGCTCTTGCTTCTGGTAAAAACACCCCACAAAAGGGATTATTTCCTTTGTTCTCTTCTTTTTTTAGTGAATTACCTAGGTGGGACCTTTTGGCTTCTGTCCAGTTGGGTTTGAGGTGAAGTCTCCTAGGAGGTGTCTTTTTACCAAATTGAGGAGAGAAACTTCTGGGCTTTTTAAGGACACAAAGGATCATTTATTCACTCAGGGGACACATCCCTCCTGCCAGGCTGTGCTGTCCCCTCCCAGCCCCTCCTCAGGGCTGCCTTTACCTGCAGAGCCGCCAGCCGGGCACCTTCCAGAGGTTTGTCAGGATCCACCTTCACCTCCCGTGCTCTGCTGAACACCTCCAGCTCCCTGAGAGAGCAGCAGGCCTGCAGGGAGCCCTGGCACAGGGAAGGAGCCAAGAGCAGAGGATTTGCACTTACTCTGAGCACTCTCACTTACTTCCAGCGTGAGGAAGCGGGCGTTCCTCTGGGGAGCATCGGGGTTTATTTTTACTGCACGGGCAGCTCGGAACTGCTGCAAGCCCAGGAGCCTGGAGGCAGCGTGGGAGGAGCCCTGTTTGCATAAAATATCGGCTCACAGCAGAAATGGGCAATGCAGAACCTTGCACCCTCTGGACAGGCTGATTTCTGCAGATTTTTAATTGAGGGGTGGCTAATTTTCTGTGAAATGTCCAGCACCAGCTTGGACAGGGGTGGAAGGGGGATAGTGAAGGTGTTGCTGCTGAGGGAGCTTTAAATTCCCTTCCAATCCAAACAGAATCACAGAATCATGGAATCACACAATCACACAATCACACAATCACAGAATAATGAGGTTGGAAGAGACCTCTAAGATCATCAAGCCCAACCCATGCCCTCACACCTCAACCAGAGGTGCCACCCAGTGCCATGTCCAGGCTTTTTTTAACACACCCAGAGATGGTGATTCCACCACCTCCCTGGGAAGAGAATTCCAGAACTTTATTATTTTTTCAGTGAAAATTTCTTTCCTAATATCCAAACTGTTCTGTGGCTTGGGAATTGACAAGGTGGCTTTGTTTGGTTTCCTTCCAGGGCTGCCAGGCGCTGCCCGGGGCACTGAGGAGGAACTGGGGGAAAACTGGAGGGCACTGGGGGGAACTG